ACATATTGCTTGTTCTGTCCCTAATCGTGCCAGACCTGCAAACCTTTTCCCATGTCCATTTGGAAAGCTTGAGTTTCATACAGTTTTGCAGCTCTGCAGTCAGGGGCTCTTTGTCTGAGTCTCACAGCAGGGGTCCCCTCAGTCTCACACCCAGGGCATGGTCCTCATCCAGTTTGGCTCTAAAAGTTCTGAAACTTAAGAGAAATGTGTTGCAAAAGGTCTGTTTGCAGCAGTTCGGTTCTGAAAGGTTCTTACTTATCCTTGATGGCTCTGGGGATCTGGTTCCCCTGGGGCCCGCATCTCCACTGCGGACCCCAGCTTCATGGGCATGGGAGAGGAGGCAAGGAGAGCAGGAGCCAAAGGGTGCAGGAGGAAATGAAGGGCTAGAGCAGAACAGAGATAATTCTGTGTGCTCTCTGGTTTTCACTGTCTTCACAGAAAGGGAGGTGGTTTTTCACACCTCTGGTGGCTTCCATGTGATTGGCCTGTGACTGCTTTGGCTGAAAAGGGGGGGCTGCAGAAGTCCCCCAGCTGTTATTCACCAAAGCTGCTTGTTCTCCTCTGGTCATCCTATCAAGATGAAATATGGACACTGGTTCCCAATGTCCAAAAAGTTTGATCATGGCATATGGCACAACAATGTGCAGAGCAGTCTAGTTTTCCGAAAACACTTTAGTAGTAGAAGAAGAAGCTGCGTGTTTTGTAAACGAACCTATACTTGTCTGCTCATCCTCATCTTTAGTCAATCGTTGTGCCTGCCCCTCACATTTCTTTTTCTGCGTTTCTTCAGTCGTCTCTGTTGATGTCGTTTTTTCCACTATGGACCTTTGTTGCATCATACTTTTGTTTTTGGTGGTAATTTTAGTTAGGTTAAGGGATCAGAGGTACCTTATGCTAATGCCCTTTACTACAGGGATAGAGGGCAGGATGGCACACAAAACAACCTCTTGATTGGAATGAAATTCCTCTCCAATCGGGCCGAACGAGAATCTTCACTATGAAGTGTTTACATGACACATTTCATACTGGATGAGCTAAATGCAGCTATCGAAGCATCCTGGGCCTCCATAACACCTCAGCAGTACCACAGGCTGATTGCCTCTATGCCACGCCGCATGGAAGCAGTCATTTCTGCAAAAGGATACCTGATCAAGTGTTGAGTTCATAACTATACATAATTATTTGAAGGTTGACTTTTTTTGAATTAAGAACACTTTTCTTTTATTGGTCTGATGAAATATGCTAATTTTGTGAGATAGGAATTTTGGGTTTTCATGAGCTGTATGCCAAAATCATCCAATAAAAGACCTGAAATATTTCAATAAGTGTGCAATGAATCAATATATGAATGTTCAAGTTTTATCATTACATTATGAAAAAAAAATAACTTTATTACAATATGGTAATATTTTGAGGACCTGTAGATATACACTGTAAGATGTTTTAACTGCTTGTTGTGTTAATTTTAATATTTATAGCTTTCAGCAAGTAAAAAAATTACAATTTAGTCTCCAGCTGTGTGATGTTGATATTGAACCTCTTTGCATAGTTGGACTTTCCACAATTTGTTCTTAATAACCGAAAGAAAATTATAAAGCATCTTGGTAATAAAGGTGTTTTTAAACATAAATGTTGACGAATCTCATTAAATCGACATATTAATTTGTTTTTGTTTTTTTCTTACTGCAGAATGACTTATAGTATACAATAAAGAAATAGTAGCTGTGCACATTTGAATTGGGCTGTTTTATGATATGAAGCCCAGCATTAGGTGGAGCTGTTGGAGAGCTGGATCTCCAACCTCTGGAGGGAGCTTGATAGGAGGAGAGAGCTGCTTCCTCTCTCTCCTCTCTGTCTTTCCCCGCTTTAACATCCAGGTAAAAGCTTCTCTCACTTCCATCTCCTTCCGGACCGGATCCCTCCGTGCAGCTGCTGCAGAGAGGCGGATGATGCAGCGATAAGGACCGCAGCATCCTCTCCGTTGTGCCGCACTCAGCCAGGCAGCTGTTGCTCAATGATAGAGGGGGAGAGCGGAGGGCAACGCACAGGCCGAACCATGCCGCTGATTATCAAACGGTAACCCGCTTCCTCAACCTCTGCGGGTCCATTGGATGCGACTAGACCAAACCCCTCCCAAGGGTTTTCTGTCCTTTTTTTTTTTTTTTTTTTTGTCGGTGCGGGGAGAGGTGTGCCAATGGAGAAGAGCACTCCGCAGCCGCAGCCCCAGCTCCAGCTGTCCATAGCGAAGAGTGAAAGTCCTGCCGAGGACATCTCCGGTCTGACGGACGAGGAGCTGCTGAGGTGGACCAAAGAGGAGCTGGTGCGCCGGCTGAGGCGCTCTGAGGCCGATAAGATGAGCGTGATCCTAGACCACGGGAATCTCATCCGAGAGGTCAACCGCAGCCTCCAGCTGCACCTGAACGAGATCAGGGGGCTGAAGGTGAGGGGGAGGGAAAAGGGTGGAGGGGCGCGCTTTGGTGAAGGATGAGATCATAGGTTTGAGGCGCACCTGAGAGCGCGCATCTATGATGTTAGATAGGATAGGACTGAACTTCGCCTTGTCGTTTCCCTGGGCCTTTGTTCCGGATGGACATGCTGAATTTAAGCTTAAATAATTCAATGATGCTTAATAGCTCATTGGTTGGGTAGCATGCTTTAAAGCATTACCAGTCACAGTTTGGGCCTATCACTGATCTACTCAATTAATTTACATAGTAACCAGCAAAACTGTTAACATGAACTGGACTTTAAATATATATATTTTTTCATTTCACACCTAAAATTGTATATATTTCATTAGTATTTTATGATCAGGGCTGCCAGCTTTTTACCTAACCTTGGGGTGAGATTTATAAATAGTTTGGACAGGAAACCCTGTCAGGTTGGAGGTTTTCAGAGGATTTAACTGAAACTAAGTGTCAGAATGTGGGATTTCTATAGCACAGTTAATATTGCTGAGTAACAATAGGTGATCTGTAATTATGTGGAAAATTTTTCTCACAATATTATTTTCTACATTCTGGTGATTTTTAGAGAATAGAAGTAAAGAAGCATGGGCCCTACTGTAATACTTGCATCTTAAATATACTTTAAAGTAAGAATTTCACAACTATATTCATTAATTATTTTCTGCAGTTCAACTAATAAGCTATTATTTGATTACTTGCACTAATGCAGGAACCAGTGCAATCGAAACCTATGCAAACTACACTGTGTATGAATATTTGGTAATAGACTAAGGATTAAATATCTTAAGTTATTATCTTATTCGTTTTTTTTTTTTTTTACAATTGACAAAACAGCTAAACAATTCAGACCTTCTAGGAGGCTGTAGATTCAACAAAAACTCACCATGATGGGAGACGGCACTTCTCTGGGTGTTTCAGTTTGATAGATATGATGGAAATTACGTTTTTAAACATATTCAGTGGACCAAAATAAAGATAAATGAATATGATAAGTAATAATAAAATGAGAACATCCCAGTGGTTCTCTTTTTATGAATCCTGGATAACCGAGTTTTTCTGCACATCCTCTCTGGATGTGGTTGTTTTTTTTCTTGGGTGGCTGATCTTTTGAAAAATAAAATGCAATGGTTGTTTGTTTTTGTTTTTTTGTGGAGCTCATATGGGTTTGAAAGGCAAACCTGAAAGCTTTAAGAATTAAAATATTTGTGTTGGTTGAATTACTCCTAAATTCCAACGGGAGATTATTAAACTAGACTGAGTAGAGTTTTTTAAAGTCCGTCATTTTTTAGTGTGAGAAATTGGGAATATGAGTGAGAGTGTGTGAAGACAGTGAGATGGGTGAGTCTCACTCCCAATGGGTGAGAGTTGACAGCCCTGATACCTTAATAACTACAAAGTATTTCTTGTTTTCTGGAGGTGGTACAATCCTCTTTTTGACCTGAAAAACGTCCATTTAAGTTCTGGTTTAAGTTCCCTGGCTCAACATCTTTTGACCAGATTTGCACACGTTTAGATATTTTTACTCAGAATTATCTTTGAAAAATATAGCAGAATCTCAGTCAGCTATGTTAGAGTGGTTGCAATGCTGGAAATCTGCCCCACTCACAAAACTTCAGACAGGTTTCCTCCATGATGCACTGATCTTAGCTCCCTACATCTTCCCATTAACTCTTGACCTGCTTTTCTGTTTCTCCTGAAGAAAATAATCCCTGCAGAATGCTGCGGCCATTATCTTGTCATGTTAAGGGTGGTGTACACAAGGGTATAGGGGTGTCACAATCCAAAACTTTCAAAGTAGATATCGATCCTGTGGAAAATATTGGATTCTCTATATAATTTTTGATGCATGGGGATATAAAAAAATGGCAAAATTAAACCCATAAAAACATTTTATTAAAATGAAAAACAACTTTTCTAATTTCAACATGAGCATTCTCAGCAGAATCACAGATGCTAGTTAAGTAAACTTTCAAATAAATAATCCAAATATAACAAAATCTGAAAAGGTCAAAAGTGAGTGACATCGTCAAAAGTTAAGGTTGCTGAAGATTATTTCAATGTGAAAAAAAAAAAAAACTAAACAGCAGCAAAAACATGCAAACAACTCCTGTCTTTAGTATGGATACCATAACGAATTAGAAGAAATGTACCCAAAATTCAGCCACCGAATATTTTCGGTCGAAAATTATGAAAAGTGCATTTTTGGTTTTTGGCCAATAGCCATTTAACACAGAGACAACACTACCGAAACCTGCGATGATGCAACAAACATCACATCAAGCACGGTTATTTTGAGTGAGGGGGTGCACTTTTAAACGCTGCACATTGGTCTCGCTTTCATGCTCAGGTCAACGGCAAAAAATGCCATAGAAATCCAAATGTCTCCATCAGCATTCTGAATATTAGAAAATGTGTCACGGAAAAGCAAACTGACATTGAGCAGGCCCACTCCGTCTGTGGAGGACGTGTTTAAAAATGCAAGAAAGTTTCTCATTTATCCTGCCAAGGCAAAGGTCATAACAAAAATATATTAGTGGTACTGAGGATAAATAGTCTAGTACTTTTATTATTGAATAATTCAATTCATTTCAGTTTACTTATATTGCGCCAATTCACAACACATGTCATCTCAAGGCACTTTACAGTTCACCAGATTATACAGTCAAATTTACGATTTAGTGAAATGCCTTGAGTTTAGAAAATTTGTTTTTTAATAGGGTTAGTACACATCGTAGCCAAAATTGCTATGATTTTTGCATTTGACATAACTTCTCTCACTGTTACTGTTTTCCTAATTTTTCAGTTTTGGCCAAGAATTTTCATTCATTCCAGTATGAGTATTTTTAACAACTCTACATGGGTATATTAAATGTAAGTTTTCTGAGACACAATGCATTTCATTTTTAATAACAGGCTAACTGTGGTCTCATCCGAACAGATCACCTTCTAACACATGCTTATGCATTAGAATGGAGCACATATGGCATTTGGAAAACTGCAGTTGTTTTCTTTTCTTGCCAGTGTTCCATAAAGGTCAGATTTGCAGAGGGTGCACATTGTCCCACCTTAGTTGTAGATCTCTACAGCAACTCGAGAGGTACAATTGACCTCTTTTCTCCTGTGATTCACACTCACCTTTCCTGTCTGTTTATTTGTGTGGACATATACTGGTAGGTTTGCATTTATGTCACACCCTTTTTACTTCTCAGGTCTTTATAATGAAGATAAAATCTTGCCATTTGCTTTTTTTGCTTTTGGTAGTTATACTATCACACAAAATTCCAATAAATACATTAAATGAACTTTGAAAAATGCACAAGATTTACGCAAGATGAAATGAGCCTGAAGATTCACCATGCCTTTCTCACTATCGCTAATCTTAGTCACTACCTTCTCTAATAAGGGTAATGTGGCACTATGTCCACAGTGTTTACAATTAAAGTTGAGACTTGCCTGAGGTAGCCTCAGCAGCACGGAGGGATCATTTGCCTCTCCCAGGGACCTTGTCACCTCTGCCCATCCAAGTGCCTAATTACACTGGAAAGAGCTGGAGGCGCTGACAAGAGGAGAGAGGGAGCAGGAGAGGGAGGATTTAGGTGAGAGGGAGGTCTTTTGGAGGTGAAAAAGGAATTATTGTAATGTTGCATTTTTGCAAAATGATGCAATTGCTTCATTTTTGCTCTTAAATCTGTCCTTTCCCCCCCCGTGGCATCTCCAGAAAGGATTAAAGCTTTATTTCATTATGATTAAATAAAACCACAGGGTGAAAAAAGTGTTCAAAATCTCATGATTTCTTAATTTTCCTTTTGATTAAATTATTGCAAACCAGTAATAATAAAAACAAGGAATCAGTGAAAGTCATTATTATCAGGGGAAAGTCTGATCAGACTTGTAATTTTTATTAAGTTATAACAACTGTTATGAATAGAATAGTTATGAATAGATCTTTAATTAAAATGTGATGGTCTTTGAAGGGTTTTGAAAAATAGCTAGGAGCAACACTGCAATTCACTCAGTAAACTATTTATTATGCTTTTCTTTATGTTCATTTTCAAATCATTGATAAGAACCCAGACTGCACTGAAATCCTTTTTATCATCTCCAGTGACTGAGCTGCATGCTGGGAAAGTGAAAAACCTGAACTACTGACCACTAGTAGAGCGCCAATGATTGAGAATATTCTCTGAATTGGCACTTACCAGCATTTTTTAAATGATCAAATTACCGCAAAAGTTAGGAATCAGATAAATATTAGGGATGTATTCTTTTGAGAAAACGGTTAATAAATAGAAGCAAAGGCCTTATATTCTGTCAGATTCACACCTACATCTGTCCAAGAACATACTTCGAAATACTTTTCTATACACATTAGTGGTCCACAGAATGAAAAAATTGGTTAAAATCAGACCTCAAAAGACAAAAAACAGCTGTGATTGGTCCTTGGTATGCCTTTCCAGCTGTCTGTGTGGTCGTCCTTCTCGATTCAGTGCCGGGGCGCGCCATTTTTAAAAACCGATGAGTAGTAACAACAATGGATAACTATGACGAAAGGTTGATTGAGGAGGTCCGGAAGTACAACCACTTGTATGATGCCTCAGACATGTTGTTTTGGAAGATAAACACTCCCGCTGCCGGCGCCGAAGAAGTTCTCGTGACCATCCGCCGAAGTTCTCGCAAGTTCTCAGATAGGCTCCCCCTTGCGCTTTGGAGGGAAACTTCTGTGCGTCCCTAGAAATTCCAGAAAAACGGTGCAGAAGCATACCAGCAAAAGGGGTTGGCAACCAGACGCGAGTGCCTTTTGATGTCTGCGGTTGCAAAGTATAATCTGTCCTTTAGAAATAAGTGCGTCCTTTGGATCTGTCTTATAAGTGCATCAACACACAGCTTATACTAGGGTGCCTTGCTTGTTTACACACTAATTTTCTCTTGCATTTCTTATAATTCTTAAAAAGAAAATAAGCCAGAATCAATATGAGCTCGGAAAAGCCTGATTGGTTCATTTCTAGTGATAACAAATGTGAATTAGTGCATTTGTTACTATTTAAATTGTTAATTATGTTCTGCCTACAGTCATGTTTCTCATTGCTTTCTTTGCTCTTCATTTTCCCTCTTATTTTTCTCCCAGGATATCAATCAGAAGTTGCAGGAGGACAATCGAGAGCTGCGGGATCTTTGCTGTTTCTTAGATGATGACCGTCAGAAAGGAAAGCGCGTGTCGAGGGAGTGGCAGCGTCTCGGACGGTACAGCGCCAGCATCATGCGCAAGGAGGTGACTCTTTACCTGCAGAAGCTCAAGGAGCTGGAGCAGAGGCAAGAGGAGGTGGTCCGAGAGAACCTGGAGCTGAAGGAGCTCTGTCTGTTGCTGGATGATGAAAAGGGGGTTTCGGGTGGAGGAGGGGATGTTATGGGGGGAGGGGGAGGTGGAGGGGGGGGGGGTGTGGGTATGGGAGGATCCCGCAACTCAATAGACAGCCAGAACAGCTTGTTGCTGGTGCCAGGGCAGGGGCTACTCATGAGAGATGTGGGCGATGGGAGCAGCACCTCGAGTGCAGGGAGCGCTGACAGCTCAGACCACCCTCACCATAAACAGACTCACCTTTCTGCAGGAGTGGGCAATGTTGGAGGTGGTGGAGAAAAAAATAGCCCTGAGCTTTTGCACAAACCCAGGTGCAGCAGTATCAGCGGAATGGGTGGACCAGACAGGGAAGTGTCCAGCCCCGAGATCCCATCCGGGCGCCACCGGAGCACAAGCCTAGAGTATCCTTACACTCTGCCCCAGCCCTGCCGGCCGCGCTGTGGCTCCATATCTATCCCTGACCACAGCCGGCTAATGCGAGGCCTGAGCCCAGAAAAATATGGGCGTAACATAGGCCACCGCAGCCCAGAGCAGCACCCCAAGCACCACAGCTCGGATCTTCTTCTGGGCCAAAGGCAGCACTATCAGGGCCAAGGGGGCAGCACGGAGCTCTATCAGAAGTACAAGCGGAGCAGTATTAGCACCACTGGTTGCGGGAGTCCCGAACCCCGGCATGCACATTTGGGGGTCGGTGAGCACCACGAAAAAGGCTGCATGGTCCACGGCGGCAGCCCTGAAACTCACAGGCACCAGTACAGCGCTAGCCCGGACCACGTGAAGTTCAGCAGTCCATTGAGAGAGGGGCAGAGGAGGCAAGCTGGTGATGAGCTGTCACCACACCATCGGAGCATCTACAATGGCATGAACGGTAGGTGTGTGTCTACATTCACAGCTTTAGTTGCCTCTTGTTGTTATGAGCTGCTAAATGCATGCAGGTGCATCTCTGTAGGCTAAAGCATCATAAACTATCAGCTCACCCACTTTAATGTCTCTAATCTAACTCTTAACAGTACTGACAGTGGGGTTTAATTCTCTCCATTTTACTTTTCTGTCAAGCACTGTTAAGCTATTGTCATTACAGAGAATTTTCCCACTGTGGGCAGGGAACTGGTTCTGCTGGGAAATTAATTTCCTATTGGAAAATAAAATCACAGTTCTCTGTACAACATGCACTTGTCTGTGCTGGGTTTTGCTTATTTTTTATAACAGCTGATGTTTTATGACCTACCCTGCTTGTGGAGGGTCTCAGTGAGAGTCTACTAGTGAATTTTGACATCAGCAGACATTTCCATAAAATGAATTCTATATTAAAAATCATTTTTTAAATTTTATTTTTTTAAATATAAGAAAATTTACGGTATATTCCAAAAGCCATAATAAAAAAAAACTAGAAATAAAGGCTTAAAATAAGTCTGTTTGCTTGCATTTTTCATTTTAGATTCAATAAGCTCAATAAAAATTGTATAACCCCTTCTGTAAAACCTAAAGTACAAAATAAATTATCTTTCACAACTTCTAGGTGAGATTGTTTCCATCAAATTTTCCGCGGGTTCTTTTATTTGATTTAAAAAGGTAACACTCCCCCCCTTTTTCTGACTACTGTAAAATTCACAGGCTTATTGGTCTTCTAGCGTCTCATTTCATTTTGTAGGAATGAAGGGAGTCTCACAAATGAGAGTAAAAGGACCTAGTTGTGCAGCAAATATATGTTAAAACAAATTAAGTTAAAATAATCAGTGTTCAAAAGTGCAGCCTTTTCAGTGCAGCAGCAACTGGCCTTGTCAAATGGAGTCTCACTTTAAAGATGTCTGTCTTAGATAAATCAGAAGGAGTTATGGATGTCATAGTGGTGGTGGACAAATCAAAGACCCAACTTGGTTGCTGCTTAAATACCTAACAGTGACTGATAATGATTTCTGGAGTCAGGAGGTTTAATAAATGCTGAGTGGCTCAGAGCTCTCAGATGCTAAAGGACAAATTCCTCAAGGTGAAATATCAGCCTACAATTTAGATTGGTGAATCCTTTTAAACGAGCAGTCAGAGTTACAGATGTAGCAAGATATAGAAATATACTATTAATATAAAAGTATTTTTTTTATTTACTTTAGTTATTAAATTTCCTTTACATGTTTATTCCTATATTTTACTATTAACCTTGATCTATAGTCATATTCAATAGAGCAGAGAATATAACAGAAAATTTGGATCTTTTCAGTGACTCAATTTTTTAGCATCCAATCGCTAATAATAATGCATTCAGTATTTATAGTTTATAAAGCTCATGATTTAGGCTATATTGTAGTAACATTGTGCAGTTGTACGTTTAATTTCTGTCTGTTGTATAGGCTAGTATTACCAGCTGTTGAAGATTAACCTCCATCTCAAGAGGTGATGAAGGTTAATTTTGTATTTTCTTATGTAGCATACTGTATAAAATACAGCATCAGACCTAAAAAAAAAAAAAAATATATATATATATATATATATATATATATATATATATATATATATATATATATATATATATATATATATATATATATATATATAGGCTTAAAAAATGTATGCTTTCTGTTGGTTTCTCACATTAAGTCACAAATAAAAAACAAACATCTGCTATTTTTTGCTATTCATTCGTGGATCTTTGTATTGGATAAAGAAACAGAAATACCAAGTGTTAAATGTAAAGGAAATTACTGAATAGTAGGAATAGCTTCAAACTTTTGTCAGAGACATTCATAAAAAGAATAAATGATTCCTTAAAAAAACGCTATAATAGCTTATTTCTTTAAACCAATGCATGGGTATATATATAGTTTTTTTTAAACTGAAATACTTTAAGAAAAAACAAAAACAAGCAAATAAACAGACCTATGCTGAGACTTGCTTGGATGATGAATGGCATTCACGTTGTTATTCATAATTATTTTGTGATTGAAGCCCTTGTGGCTTTATTTCTGTATAAAGTAAGGACTGTAGAAAAAATATCCCTCTTGAAATGTAGGCATGGATAGTAAAGGCAACAGTTAAAAAGCTACAGTAAAGTGCAGGCGTATAAATTGCAGAACATTAGCAAACATGCTCACTTTGCTATTCCCTAATCTCCTTGGATTGCAGCAGATTATTATAAGGACAACTACTGTACAACTTTGATTTAGCTCATCAGTCTTGTTCTATTTTAGCCCTCCTCTCAGGGAGTTCAATCTTGATGTAAACTGAAACTCAGGCCAAGTCCTTAAAAACCACAACACATTAATGCCTGACAAATCCTTACAGGACAATGTTGTGAGAGCATAGACCACTCACTGCCCCCCCATGCTTGGCTCTTTGCCAACTGTATGCATAACAGTTTTGAACTTAGCTCAGAGTGAAATGCAAGCACCAAATAGCCCCGAACCAGAGCCATAAAAACTTAATTAGGCCTGTGTGTGTGGGTATGTGGGTGTGTTGACTGAGACGGAGTCATATTGTAAAGTTCCAGCCTATTATCTGTCAGAATGGCTGCCTGATAATGAGCATGTCCCCTCAGGGGTCTGCAGGACTGAACTGACCTGACAAGAACTGTAACGTGAAGTGTCACAGATTTGAGGCTAGATTAGAAGATCCTAACAGAATCAACTTTAACCTTTGAATTTTTTCCCTACTTTGTACTGAAATCAATTTCAACATAAGTTCGAATAATCAAATGTTGATGAAATTATATATATATATATATATATAAAAAAAATTAAACGTATTGAATTTAGAGTGCAAGCAGCACCTGAAAGGCAGATATTTGTCCTTTTTTTTTTTTTACCAGCGTCATCCATTGACCCAACCTTACAGCCATGTCCCTTTTTGAAAGAAGAGGGAATTAAATGCCTGTCAGGATGTAGTACTCTCCACTTGCTTGGATTATCCTCTAAACCCTTTGGACAGCATTATTTCATTTTTTATGGACTTGCGTGTGTGGATATGTGTAGAAATTGGGCATGGTGTGTTGAAGTGTCCCACTGCAGTAAAGAGGCTTTATTTTTATTTTTTTTTTCAAATTACGGTTTCATGTTAGGCTTACGTTTCAACAGTTCTCATGCTCAAGCCATTTTAAATTCCTGATAAAATGCACAAATATAGCAAAACAACACTTTGACCTTTTTCCACCTTTTAATGCAATCTGCTCCTGCTTTTTCTGGTAAGCTTAGGGTCAGGCTTATCACACATATTTCTAGAGGGGAAAAGAATTAGCACTAATATTACTGAAAGCCTTCAAGTTATTTGTTTTTTTTTTAAGACAAGGTCCATTTTGTAAAGTAGTAGTAGAATTCTAGTGGAAAAACAAAGAGCATAATTCAAACAGATAGCTTTTAAATAATATTTTTAATTTCACTATATTTATGATATTAATATTAATAACCTTTGTGCATTACAATAAGAAATTGTCCTTTGCATTGAACCAATCCCTTAGGGCAGTGATTCCCAACTGGGGGTACGCGTACCGCTAGTGGTTTATGAGTGACTTGCAAGGGGAACATGAACATATTTTATTTCTTAGGTAGTAAAATAAAATAGGGCTAGGATCTGTTTTGCTTTGTGTGGACGCAATTTCCATTTTAAACCAGCTTCTATCAACCAAAAAGTAAGTTTTTCTTATATGTTTGAGTTCACTTTCAGCTTTGACACTAATCTAAACCAAGCAGAGGAACAGACTGGAAATAGAGAGCAGCCTGTGATCAGCTGTTTTTCATGTTGAGCTATCCGATCTTGTCAAAGCGAGCTCAACTAATTATCTTTTTTTGTCTGTATTTTGGTTTAAATGTGATTATAAGGGAGCTTCTGTTTTATAAATACAGGTTT